ACCTAGTTCAATCTCGTTACTAGCAAGTCTCTTTACTCATTACGTAATACATCACCTCGTGACTAACTCCTTAGTCGTTTGCTTGCAAGCTTATGATGTGTATTACCGAGAGGGCCCAGAGATACCTCTCCGATACTCTGAGTGACAAATCATAATCTCGATCTATGCCAACTCAACAAACACCTTCGGAGATACCTGTGGAGATCTTTATAATCACCCAGTTACATTGTGACGTTTGATAGCACACAAGGCATTCCTCCGGTATCTGGGAGTTGCATAATCTCATAGTCGAAGGAATATGTATTTGACATGAAGAAAACAATAGCAATAAAACTGAATGGTCATTATGCTAAGCTAATGGATGAGTCTTGTACATCACATCATTCTCCTAATGATGTGATCCCGTTATCAAATAACAACACATGTCCATGGTTAGGAAACCTTAACCATCTTTGATCAACGAGCTAGTCTAGTAGAGGATTACTAGGGACACGGTGTTTGTTTATGTATTCACACATGTATTTAGGTTTCCGATTAATACAATTCTAGCATGAATAATAAATCTTTATCATGAATAAGGAAATATAAAATAACAACTTTATTACTGCCTCTAGGGCATATTTCCGTCAATTTGAAGGTAACTTAATATAATAATTACCTTAGCAATGTTTAGTGAGAAGCACACGCTGCTACATTGAGTTCTAGTCGTGTGTGCCCACCGGAGACACACATCTGCTAATGTTTGTGCATTTTAAGATTTTAAGCAAAACCGTTGGTCTTTTGTCTTACAGTTTGTATCAACAAAACTGTTTAATGTGCACTTAAGTGTTGATGAACATAATAATTGAAAAATACCTAATTGTTTCAAAGGGGGCAGATGTGTCCGGCAGCAGGTTTGTATAGATGTAGTATGCACCATTTCATATTTATCTATCTAATCGCGAATTTATTTCGGGTTGCTCTGGTATTCGAAAGGGAATATAATTTAAAAATGCTTGTAGTGTTGCCAAAAAATAAACGTTGCTGGTCTCTTCTTAAGATTTTAGGATTTGAATTACAGTGTTCTGGGAGTTTTCTTTTCCTATTTTTTCGTGTACGTGTGTTCTTTATTAAATTAATTGCTAAATTCAAACACAACAACTTACTGTAAATGTTCTTTAAATTTAATTAAATGACACATATATTTACACATAATACAACTAGCAGCCTTCACATTTCGACCACACGCTACCAGGTTGCGTTACTAGCGACGTTCCTTTCACGTACACGCTGCTAGAAGTTTCTGGCTGGTATGCATGCATGGTGCATCTTACTAGCTGCGTTCGATCAACTCGAACGTTGCTAGTTTCCTATTACCAGCGACGCTTCCATCTGCCATGAGCGCTGCTGGTATTTGTCCGAAGTTAGTTCTCGCCTGCGCTCTTCAGCACACGTCGTTAATAAAAAATAAATTCTGTGAGGGTTCCTGTACTAGTGATGTGTGTCAATTAGTTTTGATTCATACAACGTTCCGCTTGACGCAATCACTACCTCCTCTCCAAGAAAGAACGTAGGGTTTCTCCTCCTACTGGCGGTCCGTCTCTTCTTCGGTCACCGTAGGGCCATGGAGGCGTTGTTGATCCCAGCCCTTGCCAGCGGGAGGGATCTTGCTCTGTTTTTAGGTATTTTTAGGAGGAGGGTGGTGATGGCTCCCTGAGGATGAAATAAGGTTCTCTCCGTCTGGCTCCGTTTCGGTGATGCATCTAACATCGTCTGAGGGCGTGTGGAGGTGTGTCTCTGTGGATCTCATGAGATTCGGTCGGTGCTGGTCTTTGGTGGATCCGCTGGATCGAGTCTTTGTTCGTCTTCATTCGTGACTTCGTGTGTCTAGAAATTGGATCCTATCGATCTATCATTGTTGAGGAAATCGTTAACTGGTAACTGCTCGGTTGGCTGGCGAGTAGGGAATTAATAGGCTAATCGACAAGTTAATTGGCCATTTAATCAATTAATCGGACAATTTATCAGTTTATCGGCTACTCGGTGACCCTATGAGTAGGGATTAATCGGCAAGTTAACTGGTTAATCAGATGAATTCTTGAACAGGGCGATCTATACTTATCTTCATCGGTGACGACTGTTGTTCTAGTGTAGCTGGTCATGTGTGGGCTAGCACGATGACTTTCTGACTAATTACTACAACAAGTTTGGCTCGGCTGATGTGAGGGAGGGGTGATGATGACGGCGCGCCTTCGGCTCGCTCCAATGTTTGCAGTCGTCGCCTAGGTGGTCTACGGACATGGATATAATTTTTATTATTTCTGTGTTCTTTATACTACCGTGGCATGATGAATAGACAACATTTTTATCGTAAGAAAAGATTGACATGTTATCTTCAATACTACAAAATTTCACATGCATTTGATTGTGCACATGAAAAAAAGGATTCTTCACATGAAGTTGGAGTAGTTGAATTTCTTTTCTATAAAATCTAGTACAAATCAATGTCAAGGATAAATTCTTATGCATTGCAATCCTACAAATCAAACAACACACACAGGGACATAAAGTTCCTGCTCACGAGCTCATATGTGCCCTTGTGAACAGTTAAATCCAAAAAACAGTAAACAAAATCAGAAAAATCTACAAAATTAGGGGACAAGCATTAGCGAATTTTTAATATGCATGCAAATTTTCATGAAGAAACAACAATCCAAAAATGCTTTCGTAAAAAGACAAAATGATACTCCAAAAAGTCTGTCGCTTGGATCATTAATTTTGTTTCTTATGGAAGCATTTTGGAATGTTGTTTCTCCATGAAATTTGCACCCATGTTCAGAATTCGTCGTCGTTTTGTTCCTGAAAAATATTCAGAATTTTAGATTTCTTTCACTATTTTTTTTTGGTTTTACTGTTTACGAGGGTGCATATAAGCTCGCGAGCAGAACGATTCTTTCACACACAGGAACAGTTATGATAAATCATTTGCAAAAAAACAATTATGATAAATGATATCAACTATGTCAATAGAAAATTACTACTCCCTGCTATCATTATTCTGGATCGGAGTGAGTACCAACTATTTTCCAAAACTTTTCATATATTTTGTACGCTACGCTCTCATACCACACGGAGGTTACGAAAAGGAGACAAAGAAACCAGGTTAGAAGATACGTTTCCAGTGTACACGCTCTAACTTTTATAACAGGAAAAAGAAAAGACAACTAAAAAATACTTAGGCCTCCTTTGGTTTGGAGGAATTTTATAAAAAAAATTAGAGGATAGGATTTTTATAGATTTTTTTTCTTTAGAGCCCTCTGGCACATAGGAATAGATTCCTATTTCTACATAGGATTAGTTCCTATCCTTCACATTTCATAGGAAAATAAAAATGAGCCTAGACTCAATGAAAAAATTCTTTTGATGTCAACCAAATGACATCTCGTTTCCTATTCCTACTCATAGGATTTGAGATACATGTCATCTCATTTCCTATAAAATTTCTATTCTTATGATAATCCTATCCTATGAACAAAAAAGGCCTTAGAAGGAGTGCACGCACACGCACACACGCTCTTCCTTTGTCACCACACTTTTGTCACTTGGTCCTGGGACCCGGCACCCAGCTGCACGGCCGCAACTTTGATGGTCAATCCTCGGTCAGCACCGCACCCGAAAAATAGCGCATGGGCTCCACGCCGCTCGCCTGACACCTCAAAAGCATCCCGTTATACGCATACACAGTCACCGTCGACTCACCACGCTCTCCTCATTTGCTTTGCTTCGCTTTGCTTTGCCTGTTCTCCTGCTTAAAACCAATATCTCCCTCCGTCCAAACCCCAGATTCTGGCCAGTACAACCACCAAGATGCCCTGATTAACTAGTTTAATCGCCTCACCTCTCGCTGCGAGCCAGAGCCGCAGCAAACAAACGAGCAAAAGCGAACAAAAGCTCAGGAAAGCAATTAAAAACTGAACACCAGCAGCAGCGGCAGCAGAGCAGCAACGCGGTGCAGCATCCCAGTGCAGCGCAGTGCAGTGACCATGCTGCCACCGATGCAAATGCTAGTAGTAGTACTAGAGGTTAGTGGCGTAGTGGGGAATATCTGTAGCCTTTCCCCCAAATCTTTTCCTCCCTCAGGCCTCTGCCCAAACAGTGCAAAACTGTCCTCGATTTGCAATTTTTTGCATGCAGGTGATAGGAATCTTTCTACCATGTTTACAGTAAGTAACCAAGAAACCACCATCATGACAGTGAAAGCGCCTAACAAACCATGCTGCTCCGATTCCCTTTGCTTGCGCTCCCAGCCCAAGCTCCAAGCTCCAACCTCCAAGCGTGTGAGGCGTGACTGCCGCCGTATCTCATATCGATAGAGCCATAGCCCGTCCATCCATCAGCAACTTTTGAGGTTTCCAGAGGCGACCGATCATGCCGCCGCTTTGCTAGATGAGATCAAGCAGCACCCCGTCTCTTCTCCAACCCCACACCCAAATCACAATCTTCCTTTCCCCCTCTCGCATTACTTGGAAAGGCTAATCTTTTCCGTTTTGCTTTGATCCGTCCCTCTGCTCTGCTCGCTGCCGCTGCCAGCTTTGGCAAAGCCCCATTATTGCCCTCTGCCGCCCTCGCCTACTCGCACCTCGCCGTCAATGCCCGCACTTGGCTCGCCATCACTGGGAATCTCCCATCGCGGTCGAGCGTAGGTGGGGTTCGCCAGGGCTTCATTTATTGTCACCCCAAAAGATTCCAGCTCCAGCTCGTGGGTGGAGCTCTGGTAGCTCGGGGATTTGAGAGCGTTCTTCTCGAGTTCTTGGGGCCTCTGGTGCCTGCGGCTCCCCTCTCTTTCCGGTGAGGGTTTCAGCTCCGAGCTTCGATTTCAGTGTGTTCTTGGAGGTTCCCGACTAGATCCCCTCTTGTATTGGCTCGCCGGATTGGTTCATCCAAGATCTGAGCTCGGAGCAAGCGAGGAGCCCAAGATTTCATCTGGAGCTGCTGCTGTTGGGGTCATCTGCTGTCTGTCCATGGGTTCTCGGGCTCGGTCCGGCCGTGGAGGAGCGGCGGCGCTCTTCGTGGCGGCGGTGATGGTGGTCTCCTGGTCGGCGGCGGGGGTGGGCGCGATAGGGGCCAACTGGGGCACGCAGGCGAGCCACCCGCTGCCGCCGGACACGGTGGTCAAGATGCTCAAGGACAACGGCTTCCAGAAGGTGAAGCTGTTCGACGCCGAGGACGGCACCATGAGCGCCCTCAGGAAGAGCGGCCTGGAGGTCATGGTCGGCATCCCCAACGAGCTGCTCGCCATCATGGCCAGCAGCATGAAGGCAGCCGACAAGTGGGTCGAGAAGAACGTCTCTAACTACCTCAACAAAGGCTGCAACGTCAGGTATCCTATTAATTACTGTACTTTGTTGACTCTCATTTGTTGCCATGCTTGATTAATTGATTGATTTGTACTTGATGCTATCTATGCTAGCTGGAGTGTGGTCTCATTTGATTCTACTGTAGTTCGGAAGATGAACTGTCATGAGTCTAGAGTTAGTGAGGGACAAAGGCGACATTTTTCGCGGTACCTTCGATCTGTCTGTCTCGGCTGGTGGCCAACAAGTGTAGCTCTTGTTTGGCTCAATGCTCGACTTGGAGACCTGCTTCATTTGCGCTCGCTTCATATGGATGGACAGTGACAAATCTAGAATTAGCAGGGAAATGTGAAATTTCCGCATTACCTTCAATCTGTCTCCATCGGAGACCCCCTTCTTGGCACTTTCCATGGTGCTTCTGGTTTGCCCCCTGCTTGGTTGCATCGGTTACATGAATTCCTTGGGAACAGAAAAGTTACCAAGCAGGGCACTTTGTGTTTTCATTGAGCATCACACATGATTGATGGTGGTATCGGTTTGAAGATTTTACTTTGCTCATCAATTCATACTGTTTGTATAAATTACACGGCAGCAAGAAGTTCACCATGTCCACGGTTCCAGCCGGTTGGCACTACTGGATTCTCATCATCACTTTTCTGAATTCAAGGCTCTTCTTGACATTGTAAAGTCCCCTTTTACAAGGCATGCCTATTCGTTAGGTTAAATCTTCTCTCCTATTTAAAAAAGACGCAAGGTTCTGTCGTCCGCTCCTCCTTCATCCAACCTTACGTACGTTCTCCCATCCTCTTCCCATTTGGAACTTTTGCTCCCATCTCTAGTTTTTTCAACTGGTTTTTCCTGAAAACCGCTTCACCCGCCCCACCTCTTATTCACATACCAAACAAAATTATGTCTTTTTGGTAATCCAGTAAGTGCTAACTAAATAAAAACTTTTTTTACACAATCACATAATATGGGCAGGCAAATCGCGGGCTAAAGTACTAGATACTTTATACCCTGTTGCAATGCACGCATAGTTCAAAAAAGCGCTAGGCGTTAATTGTGTGTTTTGTCACCGCCTTGCGCTTTTTTGATATGCGCAGATTAAGCACAGTTATGCACTAGGCGTTTTGCTATCGCCTAGAGCCTAGGCACACTTAAGCACTCGCTTAGGCGTGCTTTTTTAACTATGAATGCACGTATCTAGTTGAATTTGAAGGTTAGGCCATCTACAAGTCTGTCTATTGTATAAAAGGCCTTTATATGGTTGTAGGCCATTTTGTATTAAAAGTACCTGTCTCTCACAAAAACTGTACCAGGAACATCTAGTAAAAAGCATTTTTAGCCTTTATTGAAAGCTGGCCTGTGGGCCTTTTTACAAGGTAAAAGCTACAAATTATTTAGCAAGCAGAAACCAGTCAACTCTTCTTCTTTGTGCTGCTACAAATGACAGTTCCTGGGAGTTCCCTTGATCCATTATGTGCATAGGAACAATGTATTACATTTAGATGCTTATTTGTTAATGTATAAATAGGAGTATATTTGTGTAAACAGCAAGTTGTGAAACCATGCACAACACAGTGTAAAGGACCATCCACGGTTCTAACATGTGGGGTGACCATTCGTTAACCGTTTACATTTATTTGGAACAATGCTCACAGCGTGCGTTACGAGGTTCATGTTTTAAATGAGATGTTCACAGCCAACCACTTATGAGTTGTGCGTACCATTTCCAAACGTAACTGAACGATCAAGTTGAGCAGTAGCATTCATTTGCTTCCCTTCGAAGCTCCTAGCTGGAAGAAGGGGGGGCCTTGCACCGTGGAGGAAATGCATCCTTTTTTGTCCAGTCCTCTTTATTTCTGTTGATTCTTTGAGGGTGATATAATAGTTGCCCTCTTCCCTCTCCCTTGAGTTATACCTCCTGTATAGAATTTACCTCATACCTACTCTGTCTTGCAATGACTATGTTTATACTCATTTCACTACCTGCTGGACCGTGTGGTCCTGGTGGACATGCATTTCTCTTATGTGTCATAATTTCAAAGATTTTTTAAACTGAAACTTGAAGGCTTCAACCTTTTTAGCACATTCTCAAAACCTATTTGCACTACCAAGCATTTTGCAAACGTTTAACATCTTTCTGTTCTTTCTATGACATGTTCAATTTATGGCTGTTTTGCACAATTTTTTATTAAACTATGTTAAATTCCTAAGCCATAATAACAATCAATTTCTTGAACTCAGATTACTATTCAACCTGGAAAATCCGTGAACTATTTCATTGGTGGTTTTGCAATGGTTTGGGAGAATATGCACATTTCCAGCTTTTGATATACTTCCTTCCGCAATTTTCATGTCTCTAGCTTGTCTGAACTACTTTTGGCACGAGGCAAACCATTGACTTTGGTTTGTAAATACAACCTTGTAATTTAACCTAGTATCTGTTTTGCTTTCTAGCTCCATCCCTCCATCTTATAACACTGTACTGGTAGCATTTATTTTGATGAAACAGCTCTATGCTAGTACATGCACTGTCCCTGATAAATTTCATGCAGCATTCTTTTTAAGTTGCAACTCCAATGTCTGCTACCTGCTTGGTGATCTAGTAAGCTAGACTATGTGATAACACTTCATCTGAACTACTGATAAGCAGATGATGAAATGAAATGGTCTTTACTGCTTCCACAATATGTTGTAAGCAAAATGCATGTTCAGCAAGATCAGTTTAGGCTCCATGTTCTCATGTCCCATATTCGATCTCATTCTTCCAGCAATGCCTTCTTGATGTTGATCCACCATTTGCATATATCATTGTCGCATCTTGATTTGCTCTGTTATTTTACTAGGTATGTTGCGGTTGGTAACGAGCCTTTCCTGTCGACATACAATGGAAGCTTTCTGCTAACTACCTTTCCTGCCCTCAAGAACATACAAAGTGCACTTGTGAAGGCTGGTTTGGGCAATCAAATCAAAGTAACTGTTCCTCAAAATGCTGATGTCTATGATACAGCAACGGGCAAGCCTTCTGACGGGGATTTTCGCACAGATATTCATGACCGGATACTCGAAATTGTAAAATTTCTGAGCGACACTGGTGGTGTTTTTACTGTCAACATCTACCCTTTCATCAGCCTCTACATTGATCCAAACTTCCCTGCTGAGTATGCCTTCTTTGACGGGCGCTCACAGCCCGTTGTTGATGGCTCTGCAACATACACAAACATGTTTGACGCAAACCACGACACGCTGATCTGGGCTCTGAAGAAGAATGGATATGGGAACCTGCCGATCGTTATCGGGGAGATAGGCTGGCCAACTGACGGTGACATGAACGCAAATGCTCAGCTCGCCCAGCGCTTCAACCAAGGCTTCATGACGCATATCGCCACTGGGCAAGGGACCCCGATGAGGCCTGGACCGATCGACGCTTACTTATTCAGTCTGATCGATGAGGATGATAAGAGCATACAGCCAGGGAACTTCGAGCGCCACTGGGGGATCTACACATACGACGGCATCCCAAAGTATCAGCTGAACTTCGGTGTACCGAATTCACAGATTAAAAGAGCAAGCGGCGTCAAGTACCTTGACAAGAAATGGTGTGTGCTGAAGCCCACTGTCAGCCTCGACGACCCAAAGCTTCCAGACACGGTGAGCTACGCGTGCGCCAGGGCAGACTGCACCAGCCTTGGCTACAGGACTTCCTGCGGGATGCTGGACACCCGGAGCAACATCTCGTACGCCTACAACAGTTTCTACCAGAAGAACGACCAAGACGACGTGGCCTGCGGCTTCTCGGGCTACGCGACGACCACCGGCCAGGACCCCAGCACCGGGACATGCAGGTTCGGGATCATGATCGAGGTCGACTCGGCCTACTCGTGGAAGCCGCGGCGGGTCCGAAGCAACTACCTCCTGGTGCTTCTCCTTGCACTTGTTCACCTCTGCGTGTCATCCTCATAGGTGTTTTTTCTTTTTCTTTGCGGAAGATGGCCCGGCCATGACAGCATCAACAGCCTGGCAGCTTAGAGGGGTATTTGATGCCTGCCGTCAGTGTTCATCCATGTAGGAACCTTTTTCGATCGTTTTCTTCTTCTAATTTCGGTGGATGCGGACGTCGCAGCCGCATCGTTGAATTCTTGTTAGCGTAGCTTTGATCTTCCGGTACCATTGTGATTGGGATGGTGATGCACTGGACCATTTATACCCAGGAATGTGACTGAGGGCATAGCTATCAAACCTGCAAATGTGGTGAGTCCAGATCAGTCTTTCTCTTCCAGTTTATGCATTATGGTCTCTAGACTTAGATGGAACACATTGGTAACTACCTATGCACCATAGACCATCACAGTAGCCATAGCCATACTAGCAGTAGGCTTTGGGGGAGCCTGTAGACATCTGCCAATCTGAGTCGATTTACTGAAAACTTGGGACCAATTGCCTGTAGACACCTGCACTTGGGAGCAGTCATTTCGGATCATGGATCTAGTGCCAGACAACCGTCTGCTTGAATCCATGTTGCAGTTATGGTTTTTGTTTTTCAGTGGTTGTTATCGGTGTCAAGCTGCCAGCTATGTCGGCATCATCGTTGTCGTCGGTCCCCATCATCGTCTTCTTAAATTTTGTACTAGCTCTGGACAGCAATGAAGAGGCAATGTGGATGGCTTATCTCCCAAGAATTGACAACCATATTTCCCTCACCATCCGTATATAACAACTTAACGAAGTAACCACCATGATAAAGATGCACTTGGATTGCATTCCAAACCAAACAATTGAACTAAAACCCTGTGGTGTCAGCTCATCCAAGCACAACACAGGCTTTTATACTTTTGGTTTAATATAAAATAAAATAAAAACATAGGTGTTTTTTTTGGAAAGCCATGGGGCCAATTAATCACATAGCCTTTATGTACAATCGCCCACTGAGTGACACCAATAATTGGTTGGCAGGCATGAGCTAAAAACAAGAATGAGTCCTTGGAACTTGTTTGAAACATCCACATAAAAAATGTGTGATGGCAAGCAAAGGAAGCCACCCCACCTAAAAACCAACCACACCAACAGAGCCTAAAGGCAGGCATCCACACCTCTTAATCCAACCAAAAGCACACAAGTGGAGTAGCACATAGACAGCACAAGCACATAAGAGATAAAGAAAGGCATATCAATGTATCCACTGAGTCCATGAACTCTGTCCTAGGTGCAGGTGGTGTCACTCATGCTTGCCACTCCCTTTCCCTCCTCCTTATCCTTCCCAATGTGGCAACCCATTTTCCCTCCTCCTTATCCTTCCCAATGTGGCAACATGGGTTGTTCGGATCAACGAAAAAAATAGCGCGCTATTTTGACGCGTCGTTGTAACGTATCAGCAAAGGCCACGTTGCGTTTTAGCTAATTGGCTCACTACGGCGCTATTTGCTCTATAGCGCACTATTTCGGCGCTAAACGAAATAACGTTGTAGCGTTTTTGCGTGTACCACACAACGGCCTGTCACATCACCACATTGGCCCAACTCACCCCCACTATCTCACAGAAGCAACACATAAAGCCCATATAGCAACCCATACAACCTAACCTAGCAAACTCGTCACAAGTTCCCCACCAATTCGTGATTGAGGGCAGCGGTGGTGGCGGCGTTCGTGACTCATGAGCGAAGGCGACGGTGGCGGCGTTGCTCGTGAGTTGTGAGCGAAGGCAGCGGCGGTGGTTCGTGAGCAGCGGCGGCTTCTCTTGACCCCGTCCCCAAGTAGCAGTGTCGGCCTTGTTCGTGACTCGTGAACGAACGCGGCGGCGGTTCGTGAAAGGTAACGGCTTCTCTTCATCCCGTCTCCAAATACCAGCATCGGTGTTGTTTGTGACTCGTGAGCGAAGGTGACGGTGACGGTTCGTGAGCGGCGGGGG